GTACTTGTGTGTTTTAAAGTATAATAAATTAATAATGTTTTAGAAAATAGACTGATTGTTGAATCGAATGAGTAAATTGGATTCAAGATCGAATTTGACCAAGTTTAATAAAATTGTATTATTTAATAAACAAAAAAGCAGTGTATAAAAAGATACTTTTTTTTTATCATGCATAAATTTAGTTTTCATATTTTCCTTGCTTGCTATTTTCAAAAGGAGACCTTTGGGAAACAAACAAACTTTTACCATGTAAGAGACAGTTAAAGTCATTCCGAAGATCTTCAGATATTTAAATTATATATAAATAGTAACACATATAATTTTTTTAAGATTCAGGTAGATTTAACAATTCTGTAAATATCATTTACTATTTAAAAAAAAAAAGTCTACAACATTCAGCTAGACTACAATTCAGCAAAAAGAAATCGCAAGATTTTGCTGAACTTAGCTTGATTAAACAGTTCTTCCAATATTGGTGTATAATATATTTATTTTGGGTAAAAATTCGGATAAAAACGGATATGAGAGTTAAGTAAAGATATTTAGGATATTGAAAAATACATCTGAAATGTTTCGTTAAAAATAGATCATTTAATACATGTATGGTATATAATTTAGATATTTAAAATTATTATCAAACAAGTAAGGACCATATGTATTTGAGTATTTCAGGTAACTACAAATAATTTTTCATAATCGCAAGATTTTGTTGAACTTAGCTTGATTAAATAAAATTTCCAATACCGATTAATGAATAGTATGTTTATTTTGGATAAAAAATCGGATAAAAATAGATATGAGGGTTAGATAAAGATATTTAGAATATTAAAAGTTACATCTAAAATGTTTCGTTAAAAATGGATCGTTAATACATGTATGGTATATATATTTTAGATGTTTAAAATTACTATCAAACAAGTAATAACCATATCGTATTCGAGTAACTTAGGTAACTACAAATTATTTTTCATAAAATTCTAATAATTATTGTAATTGTATGAACTTTTAGATAATTTATATAGTTTTCTTACTTTAAGAACATAGGTCATCTTTATGAATTTCG